CAATGCTACAATTCTAGTTCACCGTGCAATGCCATTGACACTGGTAGCAGTATTTTATTGTTCTGAAGGTTCTTTTAAGTGACACAATCTAGAAACAGTTTTTTTTATCCGTTAATTTTCTCTTCAGTATTACAATAGGTAGTTTCTCTTTGAAAAAGCCGGTTTTTTCACGTCCACTTAATTTCGCAATTTGTGATAGCCACCTGCATGACAAGCCAGTGTTTCTATCCGTCTCTTTTGTAATTGTGAGCTTAGGCGGGCATAAATGGGGGCAACGAATAAGATACAGTAGAGAAGAGTGCCTTTGACGATGAGCATTTGTTCAAAGCTCTGGTAACCTTGTCTTACTTTACTGTAGCTAAAAAAGAAAAAAAAATTTACGAAGTGGTTGTTTCGACGGGTTTATCATTTTTAATATTCAAAGGTAAAGCAGTGATTTTTATGGACTAGGAATCTTTTCTTTATATCCTTTGACCAAAAACAAAATTCATAATTTGCGCCTAGGAAATTTTCCTGTATAAAGTTACACTGGAAGAACACCACCAGGCAACGTAACAATAATCCGGTATCTTCACCAAGCTTGCAACATCTATCATTCAAAGGTACAAAAAGCTTTCAGAGATGGCATAGCGGTAGCGCGTCCACGTACTATTCCCTTAGAAGAGTAGATTATAAGGCTTAATGTCGATCGAAATACGACCAAGGGTATTTCTATTTGTGGTTAGTATCGTGTTTTCCACAATGTTGACAGATGTCGACAAAGTTCAGCTTCTTACGATCTAAATAAGAAAATTCTCCCGTCCCGGCAGAAGGGAGCCCTTGCGGCGATTTGGTTGCGGTGTTCCAATGCAATTACCAGTACGAGTAGGCAGGTAAAAGTTAAGAGAAAGAATCACTATTTCAACGGTAAAACCGAAGTATTCAGTGGGCAGTTTGGCCTATGATAGAAGAGAACGTCTGTTTCGCACAGCCTTGTAACAACGGTTGACCACTAAACGTTTTCATCATTGACCTGCTCGTCGACATATTTGAAGGTGGTTCTAATGCTGTCAGAAACGCTCATACGGTCACTGCTATTGATTGCTCTTATAACGCTTTGTTTTACAAATGGTAACGCTCTACCCCGTTGGTGCCCCGACTAGATCCATTAGTAGTCAGTAGTAATTATAGACGGTAGAAGAGGCTCAGCTGGATATGTCCAGGATGGTACCGTAAGTAAAATCACTTCTATGTTTCGAGTTTTACCTCAAGTATCGCCGTTATTGCACACTACGTCTATGCCCGGGTTCGAACCTGGATCATAACGTGTCCCTGAGGTTAGCATGCAAACACGTTACCCACTAAGCTTTCACGGAAAAGACCGGGGGGGGGGGGGGGACACTGCCTGTCAGTGAACTTCGGTTTGCTCTTTCAATTCCTTTGGAAAATTGGAATCTACCAAAATTATATTTTTATGTTCCCAGTCAAAACTTGTCAATCCGCCACCTATTGAACATCCCGTTAGTATTGTAGAGGACTGTTTATATTCGAACCTCCCTCCAAAAAAAGCGGAACCATACATGGTATGTATACTGGTCGAATTATTATTTTAAATAGATAATTTATGCATACGTTTACTAAACTAGATGTTTAAATTTAAATACAATCTCATAGATGAATACGATATAGCAATTATGTAAACATTAAACAGCTTGAAGCAAATTTGATTTAAAAAAAAAGTACGTTTTGTCAGGGTCTGTCTAATAAAACACCTGAAAGTTAATATAATAAATGAAACTAAAAAACTACGTTTTGTTAAAAAAAAAATACTTTCTAGGGCGAGAGCTCTTTTTTACAAAGAAAGATTCAGCCACGGCCATATATATATGGTCCACCACTCAGTGAACGCGGAGACATTTTTAGCAATTAGATCTTTTCGGATTCGGAACAATAAAGGCCTCTACAACCAACAGCTTGCTTTTCAATAAGTTCAGGAAAATATTACAAGTTTATGGCGATCTATACAGGTTATGTTTGTGGGTATCTGTGCAGACTTATGGTCAGTGTGTGCCCATGCACATACTGCATGCGATGGGATGCAAAACGATAGGACCTGAAATAGTTAATGAAATGAACTAGTAAAGCGCTCAATGATCCCAAAGAGTAGAACTGTATAGGTGTACCTTTCACGATCAGCTTTTCACAGTGGTTGGTAAATCTGTACCCTGCAATACTGCAGAGTATAAGGTCAAAGTTCTTAACTTCTATGCCAAGGATGAAAGAACTATGTTTGACGGGTATGGTTTCGATTTTCTATTCTTTTAAAACGCGTGTATCGACTGACGTGTCAAACTTGCCTTTGCCTATAAATATACCGTAGACCTCAATAATGCTGACACTATAAACCACATGTCGAAAAAGTATTATCAACACCATGCGAGTAGATCTCTTGACACAGCTGTATGTGTAGGGGACTGTGCCTGCGTGTGATGAGATAATACGACTTGAAGGGTAATGTCAAATCAAATTCAAGTGACAAAAGCCTTATATCAAGTATCTGTTCTATGACTGACCCCGAAGGACTAGGTGTGTATATAACTGGCTCCTTGCTTCGACTTCCAACGTTCATGACTAACAATACTAGTAATAGCAGTCACATGCTGTCCTTGGATCCTGCGCTGTTAAGTTTCGAGGATTAGGAAAGCGGCAAGGTTATGTAATATTCAATAGCGACATCTTATCGATAGTCACCTAAGTACGCAAAGATAAAGATTTGGGGATGAGAAACATGATGAATAGCAAATAGCAGTATTTGTGTAGGAAACATCGTAGCAGGTCAAAGAAGGGAAAATTTTAGAAGTCCTTGTTCTTAGCATTTTGCCATTGGAGTTAGCTCCTTTTGTTGATATATATAATGTAAATGCTATTTGCTCTCTTTGTATAAATAAAGTAAAATGTATTGTGAGTTGGTTAAGTATTACAGTTAAGAACTTTCAGGAACTTTTAAAATACGTCAGTTAAATATAAACTTTGCGTTTGTATCAGGCATCAGCTGTGACTTAGAGCATTTATATGGGAACAATCAGCTGGTTCTCCATGCCAAAGTCCCTATCACTCAAATACCATTTTCTTAGAAATGATGTATGTTACATATTATTAAATTCCAGCGTATGAAGATCAAAACAGTGAATTGATAAAACATGAAAATGTTAGGGGTCGCTTGCCCATAAATAGATACTTACATTGACCAAAAGGTAAACCAATACGTAGAGATGTCCAAAATGATCAATAGAAAAAAAACAATTAAGACAGCGTAAACCTCTTAGCATGCGCCGGTTTCCGTTGTAATACAGTCGACCTTCCTGTAAACAGTTCTAAAACATGTGGTATCTTCAGAGCAATCGTTCAATTAAGGTCATCCGCAAGGTGGTTAACATTGCCTTCGATTACGCCCAGATGCCATGCTATCGACGCTCCGAGCCTGAAGCTTATTCAAAATACATACCTTTTTTCAACTGATAATTACGTACGCTATTGTGCTATGGGGCAGAACATCTTCTCAGCATTTTAATATGCTACCAACGATCCAGCGCTATGCCATTTGCGTTTGGATTATCAAGGTCCGCTGTCCTATGGAGCCCTTTCGCACACACAATTCGCATATTCATAGGGAACAGAACTACACTTGATTTCCACTGGCGTCAATCCTTTGGATATCCTCCCAAAGGTAAGTATGGAACGCTATAAGCTAAACGTTACCTGAATGTAGGAAGTGAATTACCGGTGTTATCAATGCTGACAATTCTATCCTTAGTTCTATGGGAATCTTGTTCCTTTGATGTCATCTCAGTACCGGAACTAAGGAGTGACGTTGGCGAGGACGACTTGGCCTAATTCAGTTAAAGTTGCTGAAAACGACAGCCAATGCTAATATTACCGAGATATACAGTTAAACAACTGACCATGCGCCATACGGTACAATTGTAAAACAGTTCTCTTGATTATTATATTTTACACCCGTCTTAATTGGTTATAGACAATTTCAAATATTTTTGGTGCAAATAGGAATGATCCCTTCGGCTACCTGCGCTTTGTATCCATCGAACGAACAATGCAAGATGGATCACAAGACAACGCGATGCGCGGTCGTAGAACGGGCACCACGTTCTTAAGCTACATTCAGGCGTCTCATGGCCAAAAAATTATCGCCAAAATGCCCTCTTCCTAAAAACGATAGGACGATACATTCTTTGATTTGTATTTGTCAACGACTGAAACTACCAAAAGTAAAAAAGGCTCCCTTTGCCCGAAGGGAACCCATCAACTGGCAAAGACGTCATCTTCTTTGCACCTAGTCCGACCGGTGTACTTATTACGAATAATAAAGCGGCAATTTGCCCGCATTCTTTAATTGTGGAGTGACAAATGGCCGGAATCCGGGCGAGGCTGAAAGACTCCTAAAAAAAAAAAAGTTACTTCAGTAAAGCAATATCGGCACTCAGGTTCTATTTTGATCTACATGACTTCGCTTAGTGGACAATCTGAGCTAATGTTGTTGAGAAATGTCGCGGTTAAATCCCTTCGATATTCCTAATTCGCAACGGCTCCTCTTGTCTTGAGCACGTCACCGTAAAAACGTGCACTACATTGACCTAGCCTATTGGCTTTTCTAAATATCTCGACTTCCATTGTTGAGCAAAAAATCGCTTTCGTTATCTTCTATCAAAACTAACTACCCCCTGTAGGTGTGTTTCTAGCAAAAGTTTACGGGATCTCAAACAGGCAGCTTTGGTTCTAGAGAGGAGTTATTTTGACGCCGTGTCTCTCACTACACAATGCATCGTTTTCACAGTAGAACACCTGTAGGGCAAAACTGACTGAATGATGGTTGTGGCATTGTTTAGTGGCCATATAACAGCCGTGCTCGATGGTCCCATCGTACCGCAATGAAACTGGAGCTAAAATTAAATAGTAAAAAACAATAACAACAATGTGACAGTATGTCACCGGCAAGGTCGTCATCGTAAGAACAACATACACCCATTACAATATATACCGAACAGGCGCATTTTCATTTATGCTTCATTATGTATTAGCGCAAACCGTAACAACGCACTGCGTTCTCTACTGTTAATTGCGTAACGTGACTGAGCCTCGGCACGTATGTCTGTGCCGCTTCGATACTTCAGAATTTTTTCTCGTACCCAGCGCTATCAACAAAGTCTAGTGATTGTTTAATAGCGTGAAATGATGGATGAACATGAAATTGAGGCAAGACAACAGGCGACCCACATAATTCTCATGGTGGCCCACAGGGGAGGCTATGCCTTTCTAGCGGAACGGCTCAATAACTTGATGGCATACCTCGACAAGCATAACCTACAAGGTACCTGTTTGATTGGACACAAAATCGTATCAGAATTGTGTACTTGGCTTATATTTCAGGCACCCATTGGAACAGCTGCTGCTGCACTTTTGACTCGAATCGTAGAGCCGAGTCAAAACAGGCTTGATCTTTATAGGCAACTGCGACAAGACAGGGATTTGCTCGTTGAATTTATCGATGGGTCGGTTACCGCCGACGAATCCATATATCGAGCTGCGGCCTTAGCATTCAGAACTGCTAATCGAAGTCTTGAAGGTATATGGACACTTTTAAGTTCACCCCACAACGTTTGTCGAAAAGCGGAAGATGTCTGGCGATTGAACCGTTACTGCTTGCAGTATGGCAATGAGGTAGTCGATGTTGACCGGGTGCTTAAGGCCTTCCCAAAATTGTCCTATTTCAATACGCTCGTCAGGCTTATTTCATTTGATGATGATGATGTTCGGAGAGAGGCTTCACGCTTGTACCTCACACTCATTAGAAGTAGAAATGCTCACATTCTATCGTTATTGGGCATAGTTACCCACCGGCCTCACATCGCAATAGTGCTCGAGTATCCTGATGACATTGGTGATATTATTGAAGTACTTCGAACGTTTGCCTCTTGGCCGGGTAACCGAGAGGGATTAATCAACGTGGGAGTTTTCGCGTATCTGCACTTTCTCGTTGTCGATAACAGGATGAATACGGAAGGTCACTATAAGTTTATCATGAGGCTTATATCCGATCTGCTTGGCATATCTGGTGGACATCTGCCACCCCCACAGTACGTTAAGGCTTGTATTCCTGTATTGATGGAATGCGTTCTACGGCTCGACCGATACGATTTGGTGACATGCGGCGCCAGTGAGTCAGCCGACATTTTCTACTACATAATCATTCTATATGACGGAGATGTATTTAGTGCATTTTTGCGGCATGGTTCAGATATCTTGAGAAGGTTTGGTCTGGCACGCGATAGTACTTACGTTGCGCGTCTGCTGAATTACCTTGCCATTGTTATGGATTCAGGCCGTGGCCGCAACGTGGAAGTCGATGAAGTGCTAGCAGTTTTGCCGGCCCTTGAGATTGTTCTTCAGAGGCCTGACATTGATACGGCTGACGCGGCAGATGAGTGTAATCTTATGCTCGAAGTTATGTATTTGCTTAGCTCAGTCGTTGAACTTCTCAGTGATGCGGGTCGAGGTGATGCTGTCGTGTCGATATTCGGTGACCTTCACAGGCGAACATCAACGAGCTTGCTGCCAGTAGTCGTTGCGGCACTTAGAAATGTCAACTGCATAATTCAACGCGATGCTCTGCGTATAATTGGTTACCTTGTTGAGGCCGGCTGTAACAGCGCCACCGAGCTGGCCGCTCTGCGAGAACTCAGTCCGGATCTGCTTCGAAATTTACTTCGTATGCTACAAGACGAAATGAACTATGTATTGAACAACTATGTGCTGACAATATTACTGCATATAGCAAATCTAGTTGCTCCTGATTCAAAGCTCGTTCATGACTTACAAACGGATATGCCGACAGATTCGGAATATTTGCAAAATTTGGCTAATTTTTGCAAAGATGAAGATTGTAGATATAAGGCACAGCAGCTACTGCGTATCATGTCTCAATGGTCCTTGAAAAAGAAGTTAAGTCTTAGCTAACAACGAATTTAACGAAGTTCGAACAAGAAATATAAATGGCTTCAATCAGGGAAAGGAGGCATTACGTCTAATCTAATTTTAGCCCTCTACAAGTATTACCATACAACTACTGAAGAAAAGCCGTATGTATACTAAGATACTAATAGGCTCATAATAGGTGGAATGAAAATATCCAGAAAATTATTTCCGCGATACGCTTCGGGAGGCCTAGTTACACATTTGACGTGAATAGAGCCGACTGCCTGGGCCCAACGTTAGGTCGTTGGACTTTAAAGCTTCACGGGGTCAGGGGTTCGGGCGATTTTTATAAAGAACGCTGCTATAAACAATTCTAATCCTTTAATTAATCACCGCAAAGGCCATTGCCCGTCAACCACCGTACCATTTGTAACGCGAAGTTCGAGCTAATTCGATTTGCGCTATGGCAACCAGAGGCTCCTAATTAACCAGGTAATTGAAATCAGAAGGTTGTTTTGAAAATAGTTGTTTTTGCTAAAAACGTAAGAAGAGCACCGTGCACCTGTCGATTCTGCCGTGCACCAGAATATATGATCATCAAGAAAACGCCCGTGCGTTATGGTTTGTTAGAGAGTAGTATGTAGCATGGTCCGCTCACTAAAAACAGCTACCTCAGTACGGGCTATAGCAGTTAATTTTCCGTCTCTATAGTGGGTATGTTCACTGCCAGACTGCAACTAGTTTTTATTATAACAAATAGTGGACATCTACGGTCGTTATTCCTCTTTCCAGTGTCCGTCAACTAAAGTGTTTCACAGACAGTTTGATCAGTACAAATGAAGACATTTCGGAGACCGGAACTGAAAGACGAATATTTCAAGAGCTGAGCTATCAGGTGCCGATCAGAATCTGATTTATCTAAAGCGTATTTCAAAAACCTTAAGTGGATCTATTTTAAAATAACAGAACAAAAAGCCTGAATATCATGTGTACAGGTTATAGATACAAACTGTGTAGCGTAGTAATATCACTTTCGCATATCACATATTTAACTATTACACGGATTTGAGATGTTTTTCTGTGCACGGAAGATAGCAGGCCAAAACTTTGGAACAAGTGTAGACAACTAAACTCGAGTAAATCAGGCAGAATTGTCCAATAAAGTTGAAAATGCCTAAAAATAGGTCAAAAGCTTTAGCCACTATTTCGAAAGCAAACTTTTATATACGCATTTTTATCTATCGCTAATAGTAATAGTGTTAAAAGATCTAGTTATTAGGGTTTGATGGATGTCTTGCTTCTGAAGGCACATCTATTGCTACCACACATACTGACTTGTCTTCAGGCAAAAATCTTATCCCTAGTGGCCAAGAGGCCATTTAGTCGATAGTTTGGTCGGTTCATGCCGTATGCTTCTACCTTTTGACACCCAAGCCACTTCAACGCTACATGACTTTTTCGTAAGGAACACAAGGGGACGAGCTCCGGTTGAAATACTCAGCACTTTTTTATACGTGAGGCCAGAAATTCTATGGCAGTTCGGAGGCTACCCAAAGCGAGTAGTCGAATAGCGCATCGTAAGTTTGCTTTATGCAACACTAACGACCTAAATTAATAGATCTTACTGACATTAGGCAGGCGAGCGAAGATACTGTTAACCATGGTCAAGGAACTTTGAGAATATGACAGGTTATATTTGAGGTGGTAAATTATGCTGTGGCTGGTGGGTTTCACATATGGAGAAAGGTATTTAATACCTTCACAATACAAGTTCCACTTGTAAGGGCTACGTGCGTATAAGGATACCGCTGTTCAAGGACGCTCCGTTTGAAATGCTTAGGGTACCCATCGCGTGGGTGGCGCGTTTCTCTGTTAAACTTACGGACAACTGATGGTCTAGGTTAGAATTCAGCAGTTGACGCCTCATCTTAAACTGCGAGCATATCGTCTGAAGTAACGCGTATCGTCTAAAGTAGTGTATGCAACACACGAAAAACGTTTTTCGGGTGCGTAGCCTAGAGTGCGCTTTCTGAGTCTATAGCACACGGCACAAATTACTTGTACTTTATATAGCAGCAGCGGGTATCTCTGACTTCGCTGCGTGTGCTCCCTCGGTCGCTGAAAAGGCGAGGCTGGTGCGGTTTACGAGGTGCATCTCGCTACTGCGAATTAATGATAAAATTATCAGAGACTAGCTTGGAGTACATGAGTTTAAAATGACAATATTCGATCTGAAACTCGTAAGATCTTAGAAAGAGACGTCTTAAGGTAAAAGCAGACGTGGACTAGTAGGATTATTAGTGGCCATATACCCGTATGTCAATGCACAAGGCCCATATGCGGATGCACATTACACATACAGGCCAAGGCACGTTAGTACATTACAATTATTGGATACTCAGTTCAACTAGATAACCAAGTGCAACAAGGCTTAGATTTTTTTTATTTCGTATGTAGCTGTACGTTGTAGTTATGGCATAGATGCCTTTGGGGAGCTCATGTTAAACAGCGCCTTTTTCCAAACCTCATCAATGATTGCAAGCACTTGGGTGATTAGGGGTCAGCTCAGGGTTCTCAACTCTGTCAGATTCGTCGTCGCAACAACGGGCACAATTTTCGATTTCGAGTGGCATCAGCTGATGTGGATATGTTAAATTAATGGGACAGGTTTCAAACGTTTGCGTTGGATAATACCGAGGTCTGTTACACTTTATAGCGGCTACTACGTACTTTGCTAAAGATACGAACTTAAATGATAAGTAATTATTTTCTATAAAAGCTAGTCAGCCACGAATAAAAGCCACCAATGCCTATTAAATTTTTTGTGACAATCAATTTATGTGATTCTTGGCCTTCCAAGAGCTCCTACCAGCTGCAGAAAAGGTTCCGTCTGAAATTTAACGAAGCCATTAAGAGTGAGATCTATGAAATCGTCGCCAAAATCGCTATGCCCTGGCTCTTTTCGCTTATGTTTCACGCCTCCGTCTGTGAAGCCGGATGAGCCACAAGCGAATTACTTATTGGGACCTACCTGTTCGGGACCGGATGACGACTGTGGGAACAATTAAGATTGATTCATTTTTAGAAACGCCATGTGCTCGACCCCCGATAGGAACGTTACGATTCGATCTACCAGTTCCCCAAAGAAATGGGTTGTTTCATGCGGTGAGATTTGGTGAAAGGTGTCCGCAACCTGCCGCCTGTTGCAGTTTCTGAAGATTGCCTTTATTTAAACCTGTATAGGAAGAGTGGTAACAAGAGGGGTGACGATACAGCGGTGAGTTACCTAGTTTTATCATTGCTTTAAAATCTCGTTTTGAGTGAATTTTATGAACCACGCATATTTATACTCTTTCCTTAGTTGTGGGTCTGCATCACACTGAGTTGTAAAGATTATTTTCAAAATTGAAGTATAATTGGCTACTGAGAGATAAACCAAAGTATATATACGAGTTCAATACCATACATAACTAAGTACTTCCATATGTTTAATATCGGTTACGTACCCTGTCATAAAATCAGCCATATCGTGCTCGCTGTAAAACATCAAGGCGACGACCGCATTGTACGACAGAAGACCCAATGTCTGGCTCGAAAGACATTTGCTTAAACGAGTATATTAAGTTTGCCGAACTGCTTTTTCAGGTGATTGTCATCATTTATGGCGGAGCCTTCAGATTCGGTGCCAGTTCTGACCCATTCTTTTTACAGCGCACCACTTGCTGGCAGAGGCGACGTGATTGTTGTCAGCATCAGCTACAAATTAGGCATTCTCGGATTCGCAGATATGGAAGAGCTCGCTCCCGGAAACCTTGGCCTTTTTGATCAGCGCCTCGCACTTAAATGGGTGCGAGATAACCTTCGCGCGTTTGGTGGTAACCCTGACGGAGTCACACTGATGGGCGTGTCCGCTGGTTCAATGGCAATCAGTGCCCACATCATGACGCCATTAAACCAGAGGGGACCACAGTTGTTCCATTGCGATTATGGACGCCGGTGCAACGGCTACGGGTGTTGTTACCAACAGCGATCGCAGCCTAAGCAGAATTAAGAATATAGCCAATATGCTTGAACAAACGAATCAGAAATGCTTTCCTGCCTTCGAGACGCGGACATGAATGAGCTGGTAAAGCTTTCCTATCTTCACGTTCTATCCGACGGTGGATGGCAAATTTTTACCCAGAGATATTACAGAGTACATACGCGAAAATGTCTAAAACTTTTTAAGTGTGAGGACGCTCATAGGGTATGCTAAGGACGAAGGCAGTCTGTTTGCAAAGTATTATTTGGATTCTAATACCGCACATTCTCCGAAACTCAACACGACAGACGAGTACTATCAATTCTGTAATATCAAGGAGTATAATCAAGTGTTTCAGTCAATTTTTTGATGTTTCTGTTTTTCTTGCAGATGGCACATTTATTTGTCCAGTGAACAATTTTTCGAAAAGTTACTCTTTAGTTAATCCAAACGTTTATATGTATCACTTCGAAAGGAAGTTGAACCGGAAGTACCTTGACATCGATCAGGACGTGGTAGGTGTTTGTCACATCTCACCTCTTATACCTACGACCAGCTGCATGTTGAGATTGAATGGATCGTCACCTAATTTTTCCGTAGTAGACGTAAAGGATAAAAGATTTTTTATAGACGCTACTAAAATGATCCCGACTTCGCAAGGTCCGATGGACCCCCAATATTCCGTGGAGTGTAGTGGTTGCGATTCGGGGAGAGCAAACGTCTCGTCATATTTGTTGAGCACCCCCATGTGACTTCAAGGCTCACGAGCGACGCTCGATGTAAAATTGTGTTTCCTTATTTTGAGTCACCTATGTGACAGAGAGTAACGACTGATATCAATACATGTAGTCCCTCGTTATCACGATGCGGTAGTTCTATCCTATCAAATATTTTTGTATTATACTCCTGTATTTTTTTGTAAAAATAAGTTATTGGAATCAGCTCTTTAGCATACTATCAAGCACTTAACTCACTAAAAGCGATAACCGGGGCGGATCTTATCTTTCTTTTATCTGAGTTTTCTCATATAAACCTATGAAATGACCTCATGAAACCTATGGCCATGCAAAGGCTAGAATTTGAATCTTTGTAATCGCGTTCTTGCTCTTTCCGTAATTACCAAAATTGCGCAGTCAAAAACATGCGCACTAACTACCCAGATAGCGAATAGACACTATAATTTGCCGAATTACATACTCAATAAAGGGGTTTTTTGATGAACAGCTACAAATTTGTACTAAAAGCTGGCCATCTCTCATAGAACGGACGTGGAGAAACCAACGCCAGGCAAGGCACTTGATCCACATTTTGCGTACTTGTCCTTTGATTTTCGTCCCTTTTAATATATATATATATATTGGTGCTATAAGATAATTAAGAATAGTAAAATATTTATAGCCGCATGCTAACCTCGAGCTATTGAATCGTTACTTCGTTCACTGGAATTCATACAAAATATTTAAAATAAAGGGTCGGATATTGCTAAAACACGTACATAATTTATTTAGCTATTTAATATTAGAGCTTTAAGATTTGACAGTTTGACGATTACATAACTTTAGTGAATGGTCTCACGTGTCCTGGTAAAATCCCACCTAAACCAGGTTTACAAAATTTTTCAGTAGATACATCTCTGTAACACTCATAACTGTGGAACTAAACTCCATAAAACAAAATATTTCCATGGAAGTTCGCTTTAAACGCAAAAAATTATCTGTTTCCAATATATATATATATATATATATATATATATATATCTATATAGAAGGAATATCTGCTAATCAGTAGCAGAAATGGAAACAGATAATTTTCGATACATATATATATAGGTGTTATGAATCTTATTCTTACCGTCTTCGTATCGATAATCAGAGTAATCCAGAAGAGAAGTGAGCCAAATCTTATTATAATTAACCTCAAATGATATATTAACACATCTATTTTCACACATATATTGCACCACCCATACCAAAATTGTCGCACTTGAATGCTTCTAAAAAAATGATTTTGTCAAAATTATGTCTTAACTAGAAAAACAAAGGACTGCAACATATACAGTTGGCATAACTGCATCGTAGTTGTC